ATTGTCCCCGATCTGCTCGGGAAAGCAGATAGCTACATCCGGTGCTTAGTGTATGAGAGCGAAGAACGTACAATTTGCTGCTCTGAACGGCTACAATGCTAGGAGAAAATTCGGCGCTGACTAACTTGAAGCAGTTAGGAAAAACATGGAATTGTTCTGAAAACTCTCGCCATAAATGCTCATCAGCAGGATACTTAAATGGCCAAAAAATTGAAGAGTAAAAATTGCAGGGCTTCAAAGTTTATGACAAAGATCAATAAAAAGGAAGTTCCCAACGATTTGATTCAAGCTGAAGATGCTGTAGATGTTTATAATATTCACGAGGTGCAAAACGTGATTTTTTTGAGTTGGCCTATGTTTTTAGCACTTCATTCGGAAGCGGAATTCCGTTCGTCTCTGCTTATTTCCACGATGACAATGCACTTTTTTGGCTGAACGTATGGACAATAGCCTAAAGGTACAAAATGCCAAAGCTTTTAGAGGCAGCACTTTTTCAAATGAATAAGCAAGTCCCTTAAATGATATCTCCAGCCATAATAAAGACGGCAAATAATGACGTTAAAAATCTTTATTTTTTGAATGGGAATGTAAGTAATCTTAGTATATACAGTATTTATAATGCTCTGGAAGAAAATCTGCTACTTTAGTCCCAGCAGAAGAAAATTTTTGCTTCGTAACGCCACTATTTAGATAAAAAAAAACAAATTACCTCATTGGTATCACAAAAAGAGTTAAGAAAAGCTGTGAATATTAAGAAAAACCTTATTGGCTGAATATAGAGCAAAAGTAATTATCGGTTAGAATGACGACCACTTTACGAGTTTTTCGCAGATTTTACAATGACTCATTTTGCTCCCTAAAAATGGTATTGTGGTGACGACCATCTAAATGATATAGGACAAACAAATTTTTTGCGATCTTACTGTTTCTGGGAGCTGTTAAAAGCTATCGTAGTATAGAACAAAGTTTAAACCGCGTGCGAAAAATGTTCAGAAACTTACGTGCATATCTCATAAACATAATATAAGAAATCTCTTCGCGCTGAAAAATGCTTTCGATTTTCTGTGATGTCATAGAGGCTACATCTTGTGCAGAAGGGAAAGAAAATTATGAGAAAAAGAAAGAAACTAGGCAGCGATAAAATGCAGATGTTTGTTTCGCAAGCACAATCAGCTAATAAAAACAGAACTTATAGGAAGTGGGCGAAATGGCTGCGATGGTTCGATTATCTTTCATTTAATAAAAATTGCTAGAACGGGGTGGCAAAGGGTCTTGTTCAGATGCAGGAGTGCTTTCGCACAATATTCACGTCAATATGTCTTTAGGAAAAAGCGAAACCTCAGCTTTGTGGGAACAAGTGGGCTCTTTGCTAAGGCTTATCTCCGTCTAAGCTTTCTCCACCTATCTCACAATTCAATGGAGTGAATCTGCTGAGTGTATTCTTTGGATAATAGAATTGCATAAGATAAGATCGTAAGATCGTATTGTATCACGCAAAAGATATCAAAGTATATGAGAAGATAGCACTGAACTACTTCGTCCAAACTCATTTGGAAGAATATATTGGAATGCTTGAATGCTTTCAACACCAGACGCAAAAGCAGATTTATGTGAGATTCGCTCTCGATCTGGTCCAGATTCTGTTCTTAAGAAGTTATGCGCGTTTTTCTCGTGCACTTAACGAGGCACCGTGGTGTAATTCTCACAGATGTATGTTTGGACTAATGGATAGCTAGCTCTGGGTGTCTATGAGAATCTGTTTTGGTCTGCAAGAAAAAGCACAAAAAGCTATATCTAAATGTTAGTGTGGCGCATAATTCGCTCCAAAATTTTTGAAGGTTCCGATCTATCCCGTCATTGAATCTGTTTTTTGGAAATGAAAGTCTTCACTTTAGAAAGGCAAAGCAAAATTTATTTATTGCAACGATGCAGTCTAAAGAAAGCTGGAAAAGCGTATTCTTGGATTTCGTTTGCTAAAATTGCCAACTGTGTAGCGAAATGCAGCTTTAATTTTGAATTTTGTCTGTGCCTGGCCTTTCTGCCTTCTTCGCATGTACTTATCGAATTGTCTCAAATCAGGATTTTGGTCCAGATGAACTCTAACATGTTTAGTAAATATTTACCATATCTCATTGGAAGAGCATAATGTGACCATAAAAGCTGAAAACGTCTACAAAAAAGTTGCTCCCATTTTTGGTGCCGTACTTACGCATCTCAGATGACTTTATTCAGTACGATTTTCATGCACTTTATGCATGACTGGAATTTCATGAAAAATGCTACTTTTTCGTATCTTCTGGCAATCAGTGCACGGCGAAAACGAAGAAATAGGAATGAGCTCTAATGCCATGGAACCATCTCTTGCATGTGACAAATGCAGAAGACTAATGAAATGTTGATATTTGCAATCCCGTTCAAGTGGGCTCCACTCAAGTCATTTTTCCGTATGCATTGCTTCACCCTCTTAAGCAAAAAGTGCATTTCCCCAGACTATCGTTTTACCCTTAGGACCTCTTGTCAGGCAAAATATTTGTCTAAGGTGGCATTTCAATCGTCCGGTAATATGGCTTGCAAAAGCGCTCGAGGGAGAATGGCTAGAGTTTCCAGATTTGTTTCGAGATTAGGTTGCTTTTCCGTGACAAATATGAACTTTAGGGAACTACTGTGCAATAAAAATATGGTTGTAAAATAGTATAAGCTAGTAGATTTGTCGGTTTATAATGCGCTGTCCGAACATTACTAAATCGTAAACAAATGTTTAGTAAAACTTGAGAATGTTGCTCTGTGGGCGTTTTACACACAATTTTCGAATTTCGAGCTGAAACGAATTTTTTTTTATTCAGGATTCGTTCACTCTGAAGCAAGATATGTCGAAGCGACGTGAAGTGGCGAGCTCAGGAGGAGGGTGGGGAATTTTCTTTTTCAAAAATTTCGAGCGGTGTCATATGTTCTATACAAAATATTCAACATCAAAGTATTTTACGACTTCTTTCAGATTCAAACTGAAAGCAATTCGATCGAAGGTACTACAGCTGGATAGTTTTCAAAAACTCCGCCAAAGCAAATATTGCCGGGGTTTGACAGAGTTTATCTAACAATAAGCCGAGAGCTCAAGTACAAGAGAAAACGGCATACCTTCTATTTTCATATTTACAAGTGTTAAACAGTAAAGAGGTTTGGTGTTTCGAACACGCGAGGTTTCCTTGATGAATAAAAAACCCTTTGATTGCTGTGGATGAGTAGCTAGAACAACGATGAAGAGTTTCATAGAGTTTTGTCTTTCGCTTAAAATTGTATATGCTTTGGAGACGAGTTGCCTTGAAACACTCGCTGACAAAATTTGTCATCTATGGACAAATTGTAGTTTCAAAAAAATTCCCATAGAGTAAAAACACTAGTTAACTAACTACGTTTTTCTCTTAGCGAAGCGACTGTAAAAAAATCTTTGAGACTTGTTGATATAACGTGAGGATGGCAACGAGGATGGTTTGTACATGGATATTTTTGCTGTTTTGAAGGTAATTTCAAAAACTCTTAGGCTTTTCTCCATTTCCGCAGGTGTGAGCTGTGAAAAAGCACAAAACAAGGGGAGAGTTCTACTGAAACCTTGAAGACATTCAAAGAAAGTCAGGAAATCAAAATTGGTAGTTGACTGGCCAACTTTCCTGACAGGAACTTTAACGAAACTGTTTGGCAGTAATGAGAATATGTAAAAGATGCCAAAGGTGCTAGTCACACTGTATATTTTGATATCCCTGTGAATTTTACTCTAAAATAGATAACAGAAGTGCTAGGTCTATGGAATCTTTGCGTATAAAACCCAGACGCTAAGTACGCCACCAAGAGTCGCAAATTTTTCAGGTAGCCATTGCTAAGTAAGTACAAGCGAATGCGACATTCTTTTCTTCATTCCTAGTAGTGACCTTCTATTAACATGGTTGAGCTTGGCCTGGAAGAGGGAGTATTATTGACCATCCTGCTCCCTTACCTTCGCATCGTACCAATTTTTTTTACTAGGAAAAGGAAAAAGCTCATGATTTTAGTTCCAGGCAGTGTAGAACGGACGGAAAGGAACTGGAAATGTCCGTATCCTCTAGATTGGCGGCATGCTTTGTCCGGCGCGCACCCTTGCGCGCTTGGGGCAGGCTTGCCGCCGCCATACAAAATACTTGGAGTAACTAAGCGGGGAAGAGCGAGTTTAGGGAGATTCAAAAACCCAGTTGTAGGGTTCTTGATGTAGAACAAAGTTATTTCAAAAATGTGAAAAAATTATGTGAAGGAAGGTAAATTCTTGACTTTTTCTTTTTACAGCCACCTCAGGTGGCTGTCCAGGTGGATGGAAAGCCACCTAACTCCGAAATTCAGTTCACATATTTTTTCATAATCTTTTTCACATAGTCCTAACACCCTATTGCCCATCTACACACCAATTTTGGTGTCATTTCAACTTCTCTTCGCTGTAAACAAAGTCTTTTGTTTACTTCGGGGCAAGTTTGAATTCGCGCGCTTACTCGACGAACTTGTTGAAACACGAGATTTTTGGTTTCTGCAGGAAAGGGGTCGATGAGGCAGGAACGACAATTTGCGTCTTCTATAGAAGATGAAAAGCGACATAAAGGAAGAAGGCGATTGTGTGTGTAGGGGGTTAGGGGGGGGGGGGCTGGGGTTTCCGCTTAAACGATATCCCCCTTTTTCTATTCCAAACCATATCTAACTTGCCTTGTAACCTGTGCCGAGCCCCGATCCGGAATATCTTCTATCCATCACCTTTGCAAAAATCTATTTTTGTACTTTCATCTTTGATGTGATGATCGCAGATGATCTACAATCGAAGCGGCGTCCCTTATTGTCACTGGTGTTTGCGAGGCTACGGCTGCACTTCTTTTTGCTCCTCATACTGTTGAATTTTGCACTTTTACTTTGTTTCTATTTTTCATATTGCCTACATTTGTCTTCTTCTTTGAGTTATTATGCTTTTCACACTCGGAACTTATTTTTACAGTTTCGTGAAGTTTAGCACTGACTCAAAAATGACCACAGAAACCCTCTCTCCTAACCTCCAGTCAGGGCATGGAATGACTTTGAGAATGTGCAGGTATCTCAGAGTTTTTCACATTTCCAAGAATGCCTTATACCTCATGTCTTAACCTCAATCAACTATGAAAACATTTGACAACGCCGCGACCGCAGCTATTCTTTCCTCTAATCGACCATAAAGCAGACTTCCTGTGCGAGAACTTTGGCCGATGCAACTTACTATAATTGTGCAAAAACGACATAGCTAAATTGCATCATTGCGTAGGCATAGAACTGGAGTTCTTTGTTGGTAGAAAGCTTTATGGGAGCAGAAACTTTCACATACCACCATAGGAATTATGCCAATAAAAAACATCATATTATTTTTCTGTTTCTGCCTTCAGACAAAGCGATGTATCCATAGACTTTGCCGGGAGCTGCTAAGAAAAAAAAGAGGGGCCAGAACACTTGCACTTTGATAATTAGAAAATGGAGCGAACATTTTTGCTCATTGAAGAAGCTATACATGTTTTGCTTACCTTGTAACTTCTTCCCTTTATGGGAAAAAAAGATCTATGTTTGCGGTACTTGAAGGATGAACTGGACAATTTCAGTATCAGTATAGTATTGTCCGTTTACAATTAGTCACTTCAATCCACCAAAGATCCTCCCTACTGCTAGACAACATTTTATATTTGTGAGTGATTGTTGATTTTCTACTCATCTGGTTATGAGAAAAGGCGATTTAATGAGGCTTTTAAATGTCTGCGAAATGAGCTAAATGATATTCAAGCAAGGCAGACTTTGAGTTTTGGGGGAGGGGGGGGGGAGGCGGGAAAGAGCGGTGACTGTCGAGCCACGAAACATCTTTTCCTAGAGCTTTGTGTTTCTGTTGGCTCTAGTAATGAGAACAAGCCTGCGCCAGCGGGAGGGATCGAACCTTGATTCTGCGCGCATAACAGCGCCTTTTGCCACTATGCCAAAGTGCTCACTAAAGTCACGTTCAGCGCATATCATCGTTTAGGCTGGGAAATCTCAATATGCTTTTGGCAATATTAGCTCAGTATGTAGGCAAGAAAGCTGTGCTTCTACAAGCAAATCTTCTATGAATCTAAATGTTACTTTGCTGTAAAATTTTTTTTGAGCATATCTTCGCAAAAAAGTATTACGAAAGAACAGCGCTTGAACTCCTGGCAAAAATCGCATTGGAACTAGCTCGGAAGTAGGACTTTTCCTTACGGTACCATCGTCATTTTTCATTTGTTTCGACACTCCTACCCACATTCGGGATTTGTCTCTTAAATCGTTATTTAAATGCTGTTGCTCGCTGGCCGATGATCGCTCATCCGGATGCGAAAATGAAAAAGCGCTCTCTGATTGCTGTTTGCCCTGAATGCAGTTTTCAGATTTGCGCAATAAACATGTGCTCGTATCTGTAGGTCGTTGCTTATTGGAACCATTAAGTCACGTAGAATTCGTCTACTTCATATGTCTTTACAGCTAATAATGCACGCAGACGCACAACTGAAGGACATCCCGCCGCTAGTGAATTATACTATTGAACGACTGCTGTGTTTCTATACATTATTAACGATATTTGCCTACGAAGATGGCTGATCAACATTCGCTCACGTTTCGTACGAGTTTTCAGTTCAAAAAATTCGATACAATAAAGTCCTTCCGCGTTCATAATGGTATCGTTTGTTTTGGTTTCCTCTCAATTTCCTGTGTTCATCGTCATCAAAAAACCTTTTAAAGTAATACGATCCCTTTCGAGAAAATTGAATGCATTGAAATAATTGTTCACCAAAACATTTGTCTCGATCCGAAGTGCTTTTTAATTAATCCAAAAGCACTCTTGATTACTCCGTATATCTCACGCTACGTGATTCAGGCGGAAATTCAATGCCTAGATTATTTTGTTCGGAATATCGTAAAATTTAGGCTATTTTTAACGCTTTAAAGCCTAATTGTGGTTAATTTCTGACTTTCCATTTGCCGAAATCTTTTCATAAAAATGATCGTTTGGGAAGATTATCATCCTTACGAATTCGTGAAAATGTGTTTAAGCGCTTGCTACATCCCACTTTCATCTCACTTTGCATTTTCGCATAACTGGAATATGCAAATCGACAAATTCGATTACATCTACACACGAATTAAGGGGCCAATAACCGCGTGAAGATCTCATTGGCACTAATCTAATAAGGCTCTATTTGCCGCAGCAAGATCTCATTTTGCAAAGAAGATCGTTGTGAATTGCTGAGTTGGCTAGTTTTCTTTTCTTATAATCTAATCTTTTCGGTTGATAATATGTTCTCCAATGACACTTAAAAACTTTTGTTTTGGGACATAATGAGAATCTCTAATGGCCTACGGAATGAAACCCTCTTCAACCCAATCTTGTATCTTAATCTTATATTAATCTAAAATCTTTTATCTTAATCTATCTATCCTTAATCTCTGTCTTAAGTTTGTGAAGATGCTAGTTACATCTGCCTATAATATAAGTCTTTCTGATCGAAATTGTACTGCAGTGCAAATACAGATTGCCTCAAACATTTATGTATAAATACTGCTTGAACCGTCAGCCTTACTGCTATAGGAATACGATAGAAATTTCCCGCAGATAGCACCACTGAGAGTCAGTTTGCGATTAGAATCCAAAAATCTGAGATCATGTTCAACGGAATATCCGCTCACTCTGCTTTTACCGCTTAACTTTATAGTAATCTGTGTAGCTGTTTTGTATTTATTATTGATTATTGTCTTGTGAGGGAGATCGAGAAAAACAACTGTCACGGAATACATGGCATAACTACAGGAGCAGTGACAGTAAAATGAAAATTACATATTTGCGCGATTGGCCTAATATAGAGCTTTCAGGATTTTTGGCTTAATTTGACAAAATTTGGCCTCGCAGATGTTTAATCCTCTCTAAAGTTGCTTCGTAATCCCACAATGACGAAGAACAAATGGATCGTTTTCTGCTGCAAATCTAACAGCTAAAGCCAGATTTGCAATATGTTCCGTGATAGGTGGGCAAACTCTTTGAGCCCTTAAAGATATTAGCGATTAAAGGGTGTGCAATACTTTTGAATACTGTTTGTCAGCTTTCAAGACTCAAAAAATAACATACCCGTTCCGCGTTTGAAAAGGCAACGAAGCTTGATTTGAAGTTGACTCACTGTTGCAAACAAGGCTATGCTGTTCACAGCCGATCGCATCTTTACATGATAATGTCATTGTTCGGGTGAATATGAGCGAAACATAAAGCTCAAAATTCAAAACAATTTCAGATTGTAGTCTTCTGATTTACCTAGATTAGAAGCACGCTAGAAAATATAGCCAGCTTTGTAAACATGACATTGTACATATAATCATGAGGTTTTTCGCTGGTAGTTGTTGGAGCAATATGCTTGTTGAGCTGCTTATTGCCTATTATGTTATATAATATTGCTCATTGAATAATTGGTATAACCTTGAGAAGTATGAGTATTTCGCAAATGTAGACCGACGCAAATGTAATTTTGAGCACTAAGTCATTGTTTCGAATAATTTGTTGTTTCAAATAATCTTGATCGTTGTAGGCATATTCGAGTTGTGAGAAGATCAAGGCTGAGAGAATAGTAGAATTTTAGGACACAAGATTTCCTCGGAGAAAGCCAGTTTTTGAGACCAAACCTTCTAAAAAAAACGACCATGCGTTCGAAGTAGTCATTTTTCAGTCAGCAGCTAATTAATTTGATTCGTCACCGTCAGCACTCTCATGTCATATCTTCCTCCAAGATAGCTAGCAGGAGCAAATGTGCATCTTTATTTTCCTTCTGTTTTTGAACACTGCAATCCATCTTTTGGTAGGGATAATCAGCCATGTTCTCCAGTTCTACTCTTTTTCCTTCAGGTATATTTTGATAGCCGCTATCATCCATTTGCTGTATCTCGTTACAGGCAACAAGCTATTGGCATGGTCTACCAAATTTATTGTTTTGGAATGGAAGTGATCGTACGGTGACTGACGATCTATAAAACTCTCTGCCAAATGAAAATTCCACCTTTTAAAACATAAAGTTTAGAAAAGTGTTCCAATATATTGTCTAGAATGGTATAGGCTGTGCGGTATGCAATACATGTCAAGAAACAGCTCAACTGGAAAGGAGTCAAAAACGTTCATAACTTCTGAACTGAACCAAAGTTCATCTCCATTCTAGTCGTTGTGAAAGTTTATTTCTGTTGATATTTCGTAGCTGATCTGAGATGATTTCATCAGCAAATTTATATTGAACAATCTAATAATACGAGTTAATAAGGTTACTAATTGCCTGACTTGTGGCGCAGTTATTCAACATCTGCATGATAAGACATGACAGGCTATTATTAATGACACAAAAACTAGGAAAGTTTGCTTTTTTAACCACGAAATTTATTTCCCTAATGCTTAGATGAAATGATTTATGACTGCATAGTGAGTAATGCGCTTTAATGTGCTATTGCCATCTGTCATTAACTATGAATATTTTTCAGTCAGTCTTTCGTAGGGTCTCAAGTTCCAGCAGAAACACCATCATTTGAGCACCATATATTCACTGCAACTTATTATTCCATAAACCTTATTTTTTTAAAGGAATTCTCCAATAAGCGTCAAGCTTCATATCGAGCCCTGGCTTTGAGTCAGAATTTGTTTGTTTTCTATTCATTTTCAAGATATCAGCAAATTTTTGTCTATCTTTTCCTCTTGTGGCTCAGAGTCAAGCACAAAGTGCAATTTATATTCAGTTGTATGCTGAAGCGTGTATTTTGAACAATGATTTTTATTTTCAAGTATTATTGATATCTTGAAGGAGTTCCTATTTGCGTGCACAGAAAATCCAAGGATTCTTACCTCACTTCCTCATAGTAAATCAAGCTAATTAACATCCATATTGAGAAGTATAGAGGAACTCTATATAGTCGTGTTTTGTACTGCAACTGATAAGCATAGTGTCAGAGTTATTTTGAACTATTTAATGCCATTCCTCGAGGTGCGCTCAAATTCATTTCTTTTTTATGTATATTAGTTTCCAAACCATCAAGTAAATT